TTAGCCCAACGCATAATTTATCCCTCTGCAAATCCTCTGTGATATAAACGTCTCTCTGGTCTCTCTTTTGGTGGGTCTTTGGTCTCTCCACGGTCTCCAGTCGCTCTCTCTCTGAGCTAATTTTCTGGTCCCTCTCTGATCTCTCTCATGTCTCCCTCTGGTCTCCCTCTGGTCTCTCTCTGGTCTCTCTATCTGGTCTTATACAGATGTAATTGTGTTTCCGACTAAAGAACAGAATCCTGTGTATATTTAGCCCAGCGTGCGTCCTGCAGCGATCTCACACGTCCTGTCTCGTCATTTATTCTCATCCGTTTCCTGAGTGATTTAGACGTCTTTCTGGTCTCTCCCTCTGTTCTCTCTCTGACCACTCTTTTTAGTCTCGCTCTCTTTCTCGTCATTTTCTCTGATCTCTGGTCTCTATCACCGGCCTCTCTCTCTGCACCCGCTGGACTCTCTTTTGAGGGGTATCTCTCTGTGATATCTTTCTGTGGATTGTCGCTCTGGTCTCTCTCTGGTCTCACTCTGGTCTCTCTCTGGTCTCTCTCTCCGGCCCCTCTCTTCTCTCTCTCTGGCCCCTCTCTTCTCTCTCTCTGGTCCCTCTCTTGTCTCTTTTTGGGCCCTCTCTGGTCTCTATCTGGTCTCTCTCTCCAATCGCTCTCTCCGATATCTTTCTCTGGTCTCTCTCTTGTCTCTCTCTGGTCTCTCTCTGGTCCCTCTCTGGCCTCTCTCTTCTCTCTCTCTCACTGGTCCCTCTCTTGTCTCTCTCTGGTCCCTCTCTGGTCTCTCTCTGGTCTCTCTCTGGTCTTTCTCTGGTCTCTCTCTGGTCTCTCTCTGGTCCCTCTCTGGTCTCTCTCTTGTCTCTCTCTGGTCTCTCTCTTGTCTCTCTCTCTGGTCTATCTTTCTGATCTCTCTCTGGTCTCTCTCTCTGGTCTCTCTCTGGTCTCTCTCTCTGGTCTCTCTCTGACCTCTCTCTTGTCTCTCTCTGGTCCCTCTCTGGTCTCTCTCTCTCTGGTCTCTCTTTGGTCCTTCTCTGGTCTCTCTGTGGTCTCTCTCTGGTCTCTCTCTAGTCTCTCTCTCTGGTCCCTCTCTGGTCTCTCTCTCTCTGGTCTCTCTCTGGTCTCACTCTGGTCTCTCTCTCTGGTCCTTCTCTTCTCTCTCTCTCTCTGGTCTCTGGTCCCTCTCTGGTCCCTCTCTGGTCTCTCGCTGGTCTCTCTGGTCTCTCTCTGGTCTCTCTCTTTGGTCCCTCTCTGGTCTCTCTCTGGTCTCTCTCTGGTCTCTCTCTGGTCTCTCTCTCTGGCCTCTCTCTGGCCTCTCTCTGTGGTCTCTCTCTCTGGTCTCTCTCTCTGGTCTCTCTCTCTGGTCTCTCTCTCTGGTCTCTCTCTAGTCTCTCTCTCAGATCTCTCTCTGGTCTTTCTCTGGTCTCTCTCTCTGCTCTCTCTCTCTGGTCTCTCTCTGGTCTCTCTCTCTTGTCTCTCTCTGGTCTCTCTCTCCGTTGCTTGTGTGCAGGTGTGAATGTGTTTCTGAGTATATTTAGCCCAGCGTGCGTCCTGCCGCGCTCTCACACCGTCTCTCTCATCGTTCATTCTTTTCCATATCGTGTGTGATATATTCGCACGTTCTCTGCAGGGATCAGGCTTTATTATGTCTCCACGTTCTCGAATCGAAGACGCGCTCCCATTCTCCCCCTGCACATTAAAGGAAGATTTATTTAAGATAACGCTGGCTTCGTTTTCTTTGCATTGAGCTGAAAAGAAAAAAACGCATTTGCACAAAAGCTCGAGTGGCTTATCCACAATGCATGAATCCATCGGCTGTGTCGTCATGGCGATGGGGGTGGACAAGTCTTTCTCTGTGATTTTTGACCCCATTGAACGCAGCCTTAAAAAAAAAATTGAAAAAAATGTTGGGATTCAATGACCAAATTTGGTAATGTAGTATTTTTGCTGCTTCAGGTTCTTGGTACATACATTATTCATGCATTCAACCAAAACGTCAGACTTCTTTTGCCATATACTTTTGAACCGAATGTTGCCTACAGTATTTGTAACCAAGGAGGATACAGGGTTCTATACTCGAGTACAGGAGTGGCATTTTTGATAACACATACATCAATCACATTTACTTTTTGTACAGCCCAAAACGTCAGTAGCTTTCTTTCAAACCAGAGAAAAATTCAAGAAAAATCCAGAGCATTGAATTCAGACTCAGCTCTTTCTGTGTCAGTGAGAATGGACAGTAATGTGTTAGCTCTGTGTATGAAGTAGAACCCTGCACCTGAGAACCCTAGGGCTTTTTTCACTTTTGTTTCACTTTTATTTATTCATTTTCAGAGCGGCAGATTACATTTACGAACGCACTGAATATAGCGTTCTCTCACGCTGTAGTGTTTGTTGTTCTGTGTAATGTTGTCATTGACGACACAATGTGTTAACTTCAAGTGTGTTGTAGTTTATTGCAGCATCTGTGTATCATACAGCTGTGATCGTACAGCTGTGTATCATACAGCTGTGATCGTACAGCTGTGTATCATACAGCTGTGCATCTTACAAATGCGGCTGTGCATCTTACAGATGCGGCGTTCACGCCACAAAAATAAGCGCGTAAAAAAAATGGACGCATGTTAATTGTATATGTGTTTTTGCAATGCGGAACCTTCCTCACTGGATGAGTTTCAGACGGACCGTTTATACTGGTGCACCAACTCGAGCCCAGTGCATGGCTCCGTGACCTTGGTGTCTAAAACCCCGGGAAAGAGCGGATCTCGGGAGCGGGAATGATGGATCTCATATCTCCCTCGTACCTTCCATCCCGCACGGCAGCCTCTGGGTGTTCTGTCCGTAGAATCTCCGCAGGAAGAGTGTGTTTGTCCCCGGAGGGACCTCCGCTCTCCGCAGCGCCAGCAGCTGGTCCCGGGTGTAAACAATGGGAGCGCGTGGGCTCATCTCCGTTCACAGGTATAATTCTTTATGATGAGGAAAAAGGTGGAAAAACACGCCGTGTCTCCCTAGGTGGGGACTAGCTTCATCCAGCTGTATTATAACAGCAGTTACAGAAAAAATAAAAATGTATTTGCTAAAAAGTAAGAAAAGTGGGAAGGAGATGGGGAGCTATGGGACTCTGGACTCCTGCCCACGCATGCGTAATGTGTATTACTTTTCACTTTTCTCAGGTCAAATATTTATATGCGATTAATTAATTACCGAGCCTCTAATTAATTAGATTAATTTTTTTTATCGAGTCCCAGCACTAATTGTAACACATCACTATCATGTATAACTCTGCCCTCTGGCCGGGCCTGTGTTCACATCAGTGCGCCGCACTGTATACTACGCTAAAACATTGTTATGGGAGGTTAAAAAAAATAAAAGTTGGGCTTGATACCGGTTCGGGCCTGAGAATTCTGAAAACCTGTCGGACTGGGCCGGGCTGGCGCTCCATCCCCTCGGGCCAGGTCCAGGTTTGGGCCCAGATGATAGGCCTGTGCAGGTCACTAATATGAAGCCTACAGCGAGGGTCTGGTTTCATTCACTTACATGAAAAAGGACATGGAGAGGATCGGGTTCTGGACCTGGAGAGGACCAGGACCCGGACCTGGACCTCTCACACGTTCTCCTGGGCAGAAGAATTGAAGGTCCATCCATCCATCCATCTTCTTCCCCTTAATCCATTTCTGGGTCGGGGGGGTGGCAGTCCCAAGTCACATAGCACCAGCACACACGTCCTCTCCAGGTCATGTATATTCCACTGTGAAACCCCCAACTGTTCTCTTCTCTTCTCTCAACCTGATATAGAAGGATATAGAATTGTTTTATAATATTTACTTTTCTTTAACCAAATCAAACAGGAGCGCCTGGAGGAACATAACATGCAAACTCCACTCAAGGAAAAGAACCAGAACAAGGACAAAAGCTGAGAAAAGTCCTCTCATGCTTCCCGGGCGTAGGAAAAGAGACAAAGACAAACTTAGAGGTATTGAAGTCCAGGTTTCGCATCAAAGTAATGTTTTCTGAAGCGGAGCGTGAAGCTGGGAGCCGCCGGGAGCCGCCGGGAGCCGCCGGGACAAAGGCAGCAGACGACTTAATGGATTTACTTTCTTTTGCAAACACCGGACTTTGCAACACAACAAAGGGATCAGCGAAGCCACGACAGTTCAGAGCACAGCCGCAGATGCAGAGACAACACTGTGTCCTCCCATTCCTGCACCAAGAGTCTGACCAGAGGAGAGTGTGGGAACCAATCAGAACACAGCATACTTCCTCTTATTAGAAACCATGTGAGCTGCTCTTTAAAGACGCAATGGTTTGTCGTATTTGTGACTTTACGTTTCAGAAATGACACCCACAACATTGGCTTTGTGTGGATCTCTGGATCATCTCTCTGTACTCACTCTTTCATCTCTCTTTCTCACTCTCTCTCTCTCTCTCTCTCTCTCTCTCTCTCTCTCTCTCTAGAGAATAATACTGTTTTTAATTTTGTTTTGTCTGGGAAAGGTTAAAGATGTGAGAGTCCAATAATACATGCAAGTCAAAACTGTAGACATAGAACCTCTCTGGTCTGTCTTTGGGCTCTCTCACTGGAATCTCTGTTTTCTCTCTTGAAGCTCTCTCTTTTCTCTCTCTGGAATATCTCTCTCTGGTCCCTCTCTATTTGGAAACTCTGTATTCTCTTTCTGTTCTCTCTATTCCCTCTCTGGTCTCTCTGTTCTCTCTCTGGTCTCTTTCTCTCCCTTTTCAAACTGATAAATCTAGAGATATAAGCAAAAGTGTTTTAGAGCCAGGTACCAGAGACTAGAGAGAGACCAGGAACTAGTGACATGGATTTTATTGCAAAGTTAAATTGTTGGTAATTCGAAAGTTTGGTGCATTATCTTTAAGAAGCACGACAAACACAAATAATGCTGAAATTGTGTTTACAGTTGGGTGTGGAAAAGTCCCGATTCCCCAATAAAAGCAGAGAAAGTGGGTCACACGTGGATTTGGGCCCGGACGGTTCTAATCCAAATGAAAGGCTGTGTCCGTCCAATGAGCTTCTTCAACGGCAGAGTTCTGTGTATGTGAAGTGAAGTGGACAGAATCTTTACAGACGCTGCAAAAAAAAATCTATACAGGGTTTGAAATTACTTCAGACTGAGGCTACAGCCACACGGAGTGAACACGGAGCCAGCTCAGGATATGTTTGCCTCCACGTAAATGATGAAGTTAATATGCCTGAAAAGACTGGGAGGCTCCTCCAGGCCTGTGGGTGGCGCTGTGACGTACTGAGATCAAGGCCAGATGGCTGGGAAGGCATTTAATGGGCATAAGTGCATGAGATTGTGCTGTAAAAGCTCTCTCATCTCCTCCTCCTCTTTTCTCCTCCTGTCTCCTCTCCACTTCCTGTTTCCTCTCAACTTCCTGTCTCCTCTCCTCTTCCTGTCTCCTCTCCCATCTCCTCTCTCCTCCTCTCTCCTCCTCTCTCCTCCTCCTCTCTCCTCCTCCTATCCTATCTCCTCTCTCCTCTTCCTGTCTCCCCTCTTTTGAGCATTATTCCATTTTCTCCGAGTTGCACCTGTACGTTTAGAGAAAATGGTAAAGGCCCTCATATTGACCCCTGGGGAACCCTTGACATCAGATGCGGATTGCCTTTTCTTACACACTGTGAACGGTTTCATAGTTGTAACTGTATCTTAACTAATATTTTTAGTTTATAATTCTAATTTGAATGACAGAAGTTTTTATGAGTTTCATCCGGATGAAAATGATTGAAAAACGCACTTTATATAATCTTTATGTAATCCACATCTTTATCATGTCCACGCCTTCATTCTTTCTGTGGTGATCCTGTGGGCTGCTGCTGACTCAGCCTGGGATTTCAAACCTCCATCCAGCCTGGTCTCTCTCTCTCTGGTCTCTCTCTCTCTGGTCTCTCTCTCTTGTCTATCCCTGTGCTCTCTCTTTGATCTTGCTCTCTGGTCTTTCCCTCTCGTCTGTCTCTCTCTCGCTCTCCCTGTCAGGTCACTCTCTCTTGTCTCCCTCTCTGGTATCTCAACCTCTCTTTGGAAGAGACCAGAGAGTAAGAAAGTCTCTCTTATTTTCTCTCTCTCTCTCTTGTCTTTCCCTGGTCTCTGTCTATGATCCCTCTCTCTGGTCATTCTCTCTAGTCTCTCTCTCTCTCTGGTCATCTATTCCTGGTCTCTCTCTTTGATTCCACTCTCTAGTCGCTCCCTCTGGTCTCTCTCTCTCTCTCTGTTGGTCTCTCTCTCTCTCTCTCTGTTGGTCTCTGTCTCTGTTGGTCTGATATCTCTCTTTCTGACAATGGTGAGGTCTGTGCTGCTGCTGCTGACTCAGACGGTGCTTTCAAACCTCCGTCCAACCCACACTTTTCTATTTACATCCACAACCTCTGACCTCCGCCGCCACCGTCCCCTGAAAACACACACACACACACACACACACACACACACAGACACACGCACACACACACACACACACACACACACACACACACACACACACACACACACACACACACACACACAGACACACACGGACACACACACACACACACACACACTGCTCTGAGTCACTTTCTATAGGACTCTTTGTAATGTATTTGAACATAACGTGTGTTTTATCTTTCTAACACCGAGCACGAGGTGTTTCCTGATGATCTGAAGACAGTGTGTCGTTATGTGGAGGTCTGATGAGTTATCAACATCAGCAGGAAAAGAAAATGAAGAGAAATCCAACACCCACATGAGCAGCAGCACAACACATGTCAACAAACAATTGCACATTCCCTTCATCGACTTCTCCTTATGGCCTCATAAGGCAAGGCAAGGCAAGTTTATTTATATAGCACAATTCATACACAAGGCAATTCAAAGTGCTGAACAAAACAAGAAAGCATTAAAATCATAAATAATCACAGAACATTAAAAAAAATATATATATAAAAATATAAAATCATATAAGTCAGTCCTGCTCAGTCCTGGATCTTCAGCCTCAGTCCTGGATCTACAGCCTCAGTCCTGGGTCTTCAGCCTCAGTCCTGGGTCTACAGCCTCAGTCCTGGATCTACAGCCTCAGTCCTGGATCTACAGCCTCAGTCCTGGATCTACAGCCTCAGTCCTGGATCTACAGCCTCAGTCCTGGATCTACAGCCTCAGTCCTGGATCTACAGCCTGGATCTACAGCCTCAGTCCTGGGTCTACAGCCTCAGTCCTGGGTCTACAGCCTCAGTCCTGGATCTACAGCCTCAGTCCTGGGTCTTCAGCCTCAGTCCTGGATCTACAGCCTCAGTCCTGGGTCTTCAGCCTCAGTCCTGGGTCTACAGCCTCAGTCCTGGATCTACAGCCTCAGTCCTGGATCTACAGCCTCAGTCCTGGATCTACAGCCTGGATCTACAGCCTCAGTCCTGGGTCTACAGCCTCAGTCCTGGGTCTACAGCCTCAGTCCTGGATCTACAGCCTGGATCTACAGCCTCAGTCCTGGATTTATAGCCGTCACTTATGAGGATCCCTCTCTCAATATGGGCCTTCTGGAAGTCTTTCACTGTTATCCCACTGGGTTTTTTAAGGGCCCCTTGCCGATGCAGGAGGATCTAAGGACAGTAATGATTCCTATGGACCATCGGCTCCCATGTGTTTGTCATGATTGCTTTTCCTGTGTTCGGACCGTTTGATTCTCTATTGTTGGCTAATCCACAACTTTGTAAAGTCCTGAAACTACTGCTGTTGTGATTTAGGGCTAGGCACAAATACATAGAATTGAATGTATTTGTGAATGGATCTAGTGTTTTATCTCTGGTGTGTTTTGTCCTGAAGCGACACACTGAAGACTGTGAGAAAACACGGCTCGTCTTTCCACAAAGGACACACGGTTCCACTCCATTGGTTTTTAATCTACTCTGGATTAAGTTCTTCTTCCACAGAATGTTTCCCACGAACCCCGTCACTGCAGCCTTTCCCTCGGCGCCGTGTGGAAAAGACCGGTGAAAGATGGAAGTCTGTGGGAGCGTGCATTAAGAAGTCGCATTTTAACTCTAGTACTCCAAAGCAGTCATTTTGACTGCTCCTATTAAAACAAATGGAATTCTGAAGAAAAATCCTTAAATAAAAATTAAATCAAATGTTTTAGTTTAACTGTTTAGTTTGTATCTTTAATGACTGATAAAACCTATGAATATTACTGGGAATAAAGAAAAACCAGTATTTCAGAGCATTTTTAACATGAATGTAATAGTATGTTGCTATGGTAACTAGTACTGTCACAAAAAAACGGCTTTCATTGTGAGATCAAAAATGTGTATTTGAGTTTTACAGTTTTTTACAGTATGAAAAGACTTCCAGAGCAGGAAGTTGAAGGTAGGAATTGTCATTTCAAAAATGAAAGATGATTTGAAAAATGAATAGAATAAGAAAAAAGGACATAGAAATAAAGTTCATATAGAAACAGAACCATGTGCATGAGCTGAGTCTTCTCTTCCAAAACAAAAAGCCGTCCACTCGACTGCTCCGGGAGCTCTAGTATTAAACACAATCCTCTTTCCCTGAGATTTTCACCAGGTCACAGCTGTGTGCTCTGATCAGACATGTTCTGTCTAAATGCTCCTCTTTCAAAGCAGATACAGATGTTTTTGACTCGATCGTAGTGTGGTGATCGAGAGGTCAAAAAGGAGTCTGAGGCAAAAATATAAAAGTCCTATAAAAATTGACTTCCTACTTCGCTCCTATGTCAAACTTGGACCATATCCATACAGTACTCTGCAGACCACACAGTGGTGGACTGTGGTACTGCAGCCTAAACTCACCTGAACATGTCCCACAGACCTCAGTGTCACAAAAGCAGCTCGTCCTCAGATTCATGAACCTGCAGCTTTTTCAAAGGTTCAGTGGATTTTACTGTCACTTTGTCTTCTTTTTGTCTTTTGAAATCCATTAGTTTTCCATGAACCCAAACTAACTCTGCTGTAATCTGTGCACACGATCAGACCCAGAGGCTGAAATGCATGATTTTATGAGCAGATGTGAAATAGTCTCATTATTGTGGCCTGGATGTTGCTACTGCCGCTTTAAGCCGAGTGGTGACTACCTTTCTCTGTCTGTTTTATAAAGTACAGCCATTCCTCCTGCAGCAAAACACCTCCACACAAACTGGAGGAAAGTATATAAACATCTCACTCTTGGGCATTGGGCTCGCTCGCTCGCTCTCTCCGAGTCTGAAGTGATAAACCGGTGGCATTGTAAAACGCTGCATAATTAATGAGTGGTTGTTTGCACAGCGCTCGCCTCGTCCCCCACGGATCCAGGCTGCTCTCTCTTAAAACCCTCTTAAGTCCTGGTTTTTATGGACGCTTTCCCAGTTTTCAGGCCCGGCACCAGAACCATCAAAGACACTAATCTATTCGTTGAGACATAATGTTTCCGTGGTCTCATGAACCCGCTGCATTTTCCCAATCTCCCCGGATCCGCCTGGACGCGAGGCGGGCTGCGGACGCCAGCGCCGAAATGGAGGATTTAGAGAGTGTTTTTTCAGTATGTAAATCCAATCTTCTCGTGTGCAATCTGTTCCCTGGATAAACATGGGGGAGCGGCGGCGGAGAACGGCGGAATTGTAGAAGCGGTTTGTGTGGAGGTGGAAAAAAGGCCTATTTGGGGTTGTTTTTGATTCTTAAACAAGTGGGGGTCCTCACTGTTTCCTCATGAATTATGCCTTTTATTTAGTCTGTAACGGCACCATCAGAGCGCGACCTGTTGACTGTATCTTATCATGTTTCATTATTATGTTCTCTTCTGTGAGACTGAGCCCCATGGATCAAGTCTGGATGTTCAGAGCTGAGAAAGGATTGGTTTGGTGAGGAAGGTTCTTTTCTGTCAGCATGAAAAAGATAGATAAGAAAGATAGAACTTCTCAGGTCTCTTTCTGGTCTCACTCTCTCTCTCGGGTCTCTCTCTGCTGTCTCTTTCTAGTCTCACTCTCTCTCAGATATCTCTCTACGGTCACTCACTCTGGTCTCTCTATGGTCTCCCACTGGTCTCTCATCCTGGTCTTATACACCTGGGGAGACTTCACTGTTTTCTCATGAATATTATGTTTTATTTAGTTTTGTAAATGCAACGTGTTGTGAACGGATCAGACCTCACCCTTCTGTCTTTATCTTATTAGAATACATTGTTCACCTGTGCCCCATGGAGTCAGGTTTGGATGTTCTGGGCTGAGAGAAGATGGTTGGGTGTGGGTGGTACAATCCTGGTCTTACCACACCATGGCACTCCATTTATTTCATACTAAAGGTCTGGATTTGCTCCATTGACTCCGTTAACAGGTGGGAGGGGTTAACTCCTTTTGCAGATTAAAACGATTGGGTCTGAGTTTACTGTGACGTATGTAATGTTGCTAGCATTCTGCATTTAGCATAGCTTTAGCCATCTACTTTGCCGCTAACGAAGCCCGTGGGGAGTAGAGCCACAACATCTGTGCAGCAATGACATTTACTAAACATTCAGAACAGATTATTTTGCTATCGCAGTCTCCGACAA